AAAAAATTTATATCTTTATGTTTGAAGCCTGAAATGTGGCAAAAGGTTGAAAAGTTCAAGGGGGCCGAATACTTTCGCAAGGCACTGTAAGATAATTCATAATTTCAGGATCAATAATCTTGCTGTGAGAAAGTTTGGGGTAATTTCTCACGCTCTTTCATGTGTTGGAATCCCTTCTGTAATTTGCAAACTTGAAACTTTAATTTGAAACATGTTGTACTTTATTCTATACAAGCATTTTGTAGCTTGTATAGATGTACCATACACCATTGGCACAGTGCAGAAAACATTAAAAAACTTTTTGTTTTTAATTTAACAACACTTTTCTTAAATTCAGTCCATTCATATTATATATGACTGAACAGCTGCAGTCACTAAACAAATTGGGACACTTTGCACTCTAGTGGACTAAGCAGTCAAACACTACTTTAATAAAGACAGCAATTGTTTGCAAAGCAGTTAGCATGCAGTTATTTTATGGCGTCAACACTAATTGGACGAGTGCTACTGATTGCTTTTGCTAAGATGTTATGTCACCAAATTACTGTTAGTCAAAGACATCTAAATTGTTCAGCTTCAGTGAGCTCTTTATTGCATAGAGCAAATTTCTTACTTGCTGAGATGACAAGTACTGTAGCTGGTGGTGCTCCTGGCCATGTTTAACTGTGTTTTGTTTTTACCCTGTTCTACACTTTATTTCCCAGGTCTTTGGAAATGTATTGCACACATCATGTGTTTTAATTTGTTATCTGTATACGCCAAATCTTTTTGGATTATTTGTTTTTTGTGAGTTCTGATACGTTTAGAGTCGATTTTTTTTAGTCAAATATTTGCCTCAAAGTGTGCATGGTAGCAATGCATCATTGTTCATAGAAATAGGGAAAATTTATCATGTGTAACCTTAAAACTACTTATTTTTCTTATTACGATGCTGATGCTGCTATGCCGTTTGCTAGCACAAATACCAGCAATAAATTGATGGGTATAAGTTAGAATGGAACATGCTTGCTGGCAATTAATTGAAGCTAGAAATTGAGTTACAGAATTTAAAAAATCTTATAACACAGTTTGTGAGATGATACAACTATTGTGTAAATGAAGTGTTTTGATATTCTGGATGCTTACTGTAAGTTTGTATACAGTAGGTTTGGTTTACATTTACTATTGTGGTTTTTAATGTACACTGCTAACACTCATAGTCTCACTTAAATGAGAATATTGGTTAAACTGTAAATTAATATCTGTCCTATGCATTCTTTATGATGCCTAGGATTGACTCTTTGCTGTACTGCGTACTGCAGTACTCATGTACTGAGTACTCTACTCATGTACAGTATTTGTATCACTCAGGCACCCTGTTGTGCTCTTTAATCAATGTTTGTTATTCAGCTTGCTTGGCATGACTCACTAGGCTCAACTGCGTAAACAATTTTGAAATACTTAAAGCAGTACTTCCAGAGGGTTAGCCACTGAAGAAGTACAGTTTCAGAAGGGTCATTAAGTATCGCAGGACTGGGAAATCTCCTAAGGTCAGCTTTCACTTTAAAGCTATTGGACCTGCAAAGCTACAGTAGGTTAAGATAAACCAGTTTTACTGTGTGCCCAGTTCTTGGATTGTCATAATTATTACTTTTTGAACTGCTACTAGTCCTGAAAGAAGATACAAACAGATTAGACTACCTGGGCACCTACCATTTAATTGCAAAGAATGCGTCTTTTAAGAGAATATCTTAAGACTCTGACTAGAGCAATTATGCGACTTTAAGGTAGGAAAGCCATCTTTGCAAAGAACGGCCAGACAAAGTGAAAAGAAAATAGATCTAATTATTGCTAATCGAGTCTTTATAGAATGCGGTATTGAAGATGACAAGGTGCTTGTTTGAGCTAGACACGTCATGTCACAATATGTGCTTTGTTCCCTGGCAGAGCTTCTCTTCAGACTGGAGGAGGATGGTGGGGTCAAGAGCAGCACTCCCAAAAAGGAGGACAAAGACAGAATGGAACAGTCATTACAAAAGGTACAGATAAAGAGATTTTCCACGTGCCATGGTTGCCACTGTGAATGAAGGAAAAAGAATGGAAAATAAAATGAGACTACTTTGCAATTTACTAGCTCCAGAATAGGACTTATCACGTATGAACCCTTTAGCAGTTGTAGAGGTTAAAGCTTTTACTTTAATAAATTTGTCTTTAAGTGTTCCATCTACACTCGCAATCCAGTTTTTAATTTCATATGATGCAGTTATCTGTTTTTATTGGCATTTCTAGAAGCCTACAGCACACCCCTTTTGATATAAATTGATCTGTGTAAATAATAAACTGTATATGCTGTATTCCCTGAATTAACAACAGCATTCCAAGTATCTGCTATCTTGAGTGTTGTTCTATGGATTATTGAATGCTTTGCCATAGATCATTGATGTTTTTGCTCAAAAATCTGAATGTCTTTTCATGCTTGTGTAGAAAGTCGTGCTCTGGTTAACTCTACATCACATGAGCTAGAACATCCAAAGTTAAATAATAATTAGTAAAATGTTAATAAAACCGAAATAAACAATGTGAATTGAACTATTATGTACAGTACACCCTATATTTTTGCACACCAGATGATCTCATAGAATGGGATGTCTGAAAGATTTATAAGGAATATCTTTAATGAATATTAAACAAGATTTAATAAGATATAGGAGTTCTAATTGTTAGTAGGTAGTAAGTAGTTGAAAAATAATTTCCAATTCTCTGGTGGTAAGTGTTGTTTGGTGAAGTTCTGTATTTTTCAGTAGGGGTGAATTCCAAGGTGAATTTATATTTTTCAAAAAGTTATGCTTCAATAACAAAAACACAGATGACAAGGGAATCGGCTTAAGATGAGTAATCTGAGATGCAGTTTTCTTTTGTTTTAGGGGTTCTTTCAGGTTAAAAAGCCCAAACTGATTAAATATTTCAGGTGTGCTGTCCTGAATGCCCTAAAAAGTGTTAAAGACTGTAAGTCTCAGTCTAGCAAACGTCGCACTGGGTGAGAACAGCTTACAAAAGTCCATCTGAATTCTGGAGCTGAATTCAATAATTCATGAATCTGGACTATATAAAGCAAGGAATAAGCTTTAGTTGTCCAAGACCAAAAAGAGATAGACTTGGGTGAAAGATGCACAGAACACGTTGACCACTGAGGGCACAGAAGTCCCTCGACCAGTTACAGTATAAGCAATTGAGGGACTATCAAACAGATTCTGTAAATCATTCATGATTTACAATTATACTGTATTACACTTTCTTACAATCTTCTTTGTTTTTTGTTTCACATTTTCTGGAACTCCTGTTGCTGTCTTCATAAAGACGAACAATTGGGAGGGAGTTCATTCTCCTTGCATTGTCCCAGTAGCCAGATTTTGAAATTGAAGCACTGAGGTCTGGGGAGTTACATCAGCAGGAGTTTCTTTATGAGGGTTGCTGTGTAAGTTTTGAACCCGAGCCAGACAAGTCTGGGAGTGTTTTGAAGCCCTCCGCTGATATTCTCGTTCCGAAATCCGCACCTTCTGAACCTCTGTTCCAGCAGGAGGTGGTTTGCCAGATAGCAGGTTTCCATCACGACCGGCCTCCCCAGCCTTCCGTCTTAAATTGAGTTGAACATCAATAGTAAAATTGAAGTAAAGGGTGTCGAGGAAACCTAAGTGTTTATCAAAATCAGGTGTATACAGGAGCTGAAATTGATAAGAGGAAGGGAGAAATGGCAGAACTGCCTCCTTTAAACATCTTGTGGATATAGTAAACAGTTACTGAGACATATGAACTTCCTGAGAATCGAATCTTTAATTGTATTTCTTTATACAAATCCCCAAATCTTTATTTTTTTTTGTTTCAAATTGATGAATTTCTGTCTGTGTTATCTACCAATCTGTAAAACCAGGCCACTTCGATCTGCAGAATTTCTAATCTTCCAGTATGCATTTTGGTGTCAGAATGTCAGCTACAGAAATAATATGGCACACCAGTCATAATGAAGTACAGCTACATTTAATTTCCTTCTGCGTATCCACTGAATGAACATCTCCATTGCTAGTTTCTGCGTAGAGTAGATGATCTCTGGTTTAATGTCTTACTAATGGCAGATGGAGCAGCATGTCCTTTAAATAGTCTGGAAAACGTATCATTCCCTGTTTTTTTGGAGGCTAGTGCTGCATTTGTGGACTGTGAATTAAGTTGTTAGGGAGTAATTTACAGCAGATGATACAGTTGCATGTACTTCTAACAAATGCCATATGGTCAGGTAATGAAGGCTGTCATCTCGTTATTACTGAATGACAAACATCATGTTAAATATAATAACACAGAGAAGAGGAAATGCTGCCGCTAATTTATTTTTAGGAAGAGTGAGTAATTGAAATAATTCGGGCCCCACAGTGTGTGGATGTCACACAATTTATTTCAGTCTATCATCAGTAAGCGAGAGGAACAGTAATTTTGTTTGAAAGGTAACATGCATAGTAGAGGCCAGAGAGTGCCAAAATAAAGGGAGATTGCCTCGGGGTATACACCCAGCAGGCATTTACTGTTCTTTTTAACTGGCTTGACAAAGATTTAACATAGAGACAAAATAGACCTTTTTTGTATTTAGTAATGGGTGACAGGAGCTTGTGTGAAAGTCAACAGTCCACACAGGCTCTCATAATGTAATTCATTCACGTGGATTTGCCAACCCACAACACATGGACTTTAAAAAGAAGTACCTTTATTTATACAGTACTGTACATTTCTTTAAGGCTATGTAAAACAGAGTAACATCTAGCCTGTTAAGCTGGTAAGAATGTGTGGATTTCTATTATGATATCAAAGTACTTAATTAAAAGGAAGGAAAAGAACAAAGCTGTCAAAAGTGTTTCTGTCCGGGTAACTGGCAGCCTACAATAAAAAATACAAAAATAAGGAGTCTCTACCTTTCTGCAGTAAAATAATACCACATTCTCAGATGAAAAATGACTAAATGATGTTTTATACAGTAAAACATAAAACTGAGTGCCGGCCATACAGTATTCCCTAGAATAATCAACTGACTAATAGCTACAGTACATCTAACAACAACTTTTTTTACAAAGTGTCCACACTTTTAGAATAGTAATTTACATTTAAATTCAAGTCAAAAGTATGTACTGTGTAAAAATTCATTTGATTAATAAGACCAAGATAAGAATGCTTCTTTGCAGATGGGAAAGTGGAGCATAAACATGACACTGTATTGTTCATGTTTGCTCACATTTGTATTTTTGCTAAACAAGCAAATCTTGTATTTTTCAGCAGCAAATCAATTCTTTCAGTCCTTTATAACAACTATTTTCAGCAAATGAACAACGGTAATGTTAAAGTATTCCAAATGGTGTAATATCTACCATTAGTATGATAATGCTGCTTTGATTCCAAGTTATTAGCTAAGTTATAATGTGTAATGCAGCTGGTTTGTACTGATTTCATGTGGCCAAATTCTGTAATATGTTGATTATTCAGTTGACATAACACAATTTAGGCCTATTACCATTAAAAGCAGAGCCACTTAATCCCGTATATACTCCAGAAAAACGGAGCCTGTTCCTTAATCCTATTTGACATATGACTTTAATAGTTCCAGAAGATTTTTATTTTTCTTCTCACCCAAAAATACATACCATCCATCACTCTGTGTCTTTTTAATATCACAAACATCACTGAATAAAAAGACTTGCACTCTAGGGACGGGCAGGAGTGTCTTTAAATGTACAACGAAAGAAAAATGTTATTCCCACAAGTTGATAAACAAGAAAGGTTGACCTAAGGGATTAACAGCAATAGAAAAGAGTATTTTTTTTTTCAGCCACACTGGCACTGATAAACCACCTGAAATATAAGCAAGAAAGCTGGTACTGTCTCTGCTCTAACATCAGTCACTTACTATAGGAAAAGTGCATGTGGCAACATGCACTTTGTCCTTTGGTAAAAGTATTTACTAGTAATTACACTAGTTGCTCACATTATTATTTCATGTAAGTAAAATATATAAGTATTAAATTAAGTGTTATTTTCTTATCTGATGTTTTTTTGTATCCTCTTCTGTGTTCTGTATTGTAAATTAACATTCATATTTACAAACTCTTAATTGTCTAAGAGTTTGTCTATATATACTGTATAAGCCCTGTATCAAAAGTAACCATCTTCAGTTTTGTTTCATCTGCTAAACATGCTCTTACTGCAGCCATGGTTTTCAGACCAGATGCCATATTGTTGGTCTGCTGCAGATTAGCCATCTGGAGAAGAAGATGAGAGCGCTGGAGAGGGAGACACAGAGGCTGTCGGTGGCCAACGAGGAGCTGACCCGGGCGCGAGACGGACTGCAGGTCTCCCTGGCCCGGCTGCGCCGGCAGGGGGAGGCCAGGGAGGCGGCGGTGGCGGCGCAGGCCAGGGGGGAGCGGGAGCAGCTGCAGGCCACCGTAGCCGAGCTGGAGAAGCGAGTGGCCGCCCTGAGGGGGCAAGTGGCCGACGCTAACGAGCTGAGGAGGGAGCGCAGCCGCCTGACGAGGCAGGTGGAGGAGCTCCGGCGGGAGCGGGCCGCCGCGCGGCGCTCGGGCAGCAGGGCAGGAGGCTCCAAGGTTAAATTCAAAGCAGCCCGGGCCAAACACTCACTCCGACGGAGGCGAGCGTTCCTCAGTCAGTCCATCAAAGAAATGAGCAGCATATTCGAGAACTTCAATAAGGACGACTGGGAGGACATGAGCCGAGACAGGTACTCCTCTCATTATTTTGGGCATATGTAGCAAGGGGACAGTGTGCATATGCAAAGCATAAGCAAATGGGGAGATTGAATTTCAACTACTGTCGATTTGGTATTCAGGAGAAAAAAAAAAGAAAAAAACCCACTGTCAGATCCTTTGAAATATCCTGGGATGTCTTGCTCGGAGCTTATTGACTGAAATTTGCATGCAAAATTAGCCACCTCTGCATGAGCAGTTGAACTGATGCCAGGAAATCCAGAATAAGGCAATGCTTGATTTCTTCCAGTGATGCCATTTTCATGCAGTCATGAGGCTTGAAATTGACAGTTTGGCAGGTTGATTTAATTTGCTGGCCCTTTGCATATTCACCACTGACAGCTAAGGATTCCCAGGCAAGCCTACTAAGTCAGTTTAGTTATCTCGTGACATGTCGATCCAGGATGAGAAACCATTTTTTTTTCTTCCCTTAATTTAGTTAGATAAATTTTGAATGACCCATTTCGGCTTTCTACCAGATGTCTACAAGCTGTTTAACATCCTTTAAATTAAGAACCATCCACACTAATTATTTCATGTATGTTTTATGCAAAGCCACTGAACGAACATTTATTGAATGATGGTTAAAAATGATGTGGTCTCTTGCAGTTCTTAATTGAAGTACTTCAGTGCAATTTTTAAAATAATAAGTTAAAACACCATTTAACAGTGCACAGCTAAATCAGAACTCATGTATCTCCAGTATAACAAAGATAATGAGAGTTATTTTTATGTTAATTAATATGTCAAGGGAATGTTTAAGACACAGTTAACAGTTAAAGTAAGAGTCAGTTTTGCTGGCAGGTTAACACATTCCCTCCAGGAATTCATCGGGAAAAATTGTAGGCTATATCGTCTAAATGCCAATGACCTGATCTTACTTTTGATCTTACCAAAGCTAACTGCCTTTGGCTGTATTTCTTAAAACCACATCCAGTTTTTGTCTTTGAAGGTAATGCCATTCTCATTAATTGCCTGGAAACATATGATAAAGTGTAATTTGTCGGTTCTATTCAGTGAAATGAAACTAAAGAAAATACAGTAAATGTACTGTATTCTGGATTGGTAACACATTTAACTTCATCCTGAATTTGAAGTTCAGAGTTTTCAGTTTACTGTAGCAGTCTGTCTCTGATGCTCATTTTAACTTGAGGCTAAGTAATTACACCACCTGTGCTGCATTGCTTTCACTGCTTAGCAAATCTCTTACACTGACTTGAGCGGGGTCAGCCTTCTCTTGCTCATAGCCGTGACAGACATGTCACTCAGGCAGTCTAATAATTTCTACCTGTGATGAATGGCATTGCTCAAAGGAATTCCCAGGTAAACAGGCTTATGCCATGATTCATACTTTGAGTCCTGCCAGAAGGTCATGTTCTTGGAGTGAATGGATGCTTGGTGAGGACCATAAAAGAATACTATGACTTTGATACGATTTGTAGCTCTGTCAACCACATTAGTGAATAAAGTCCTATGTTATCCAACATCTTTGCAGGTTTCCCATGTCTAAAAACTGCCATGACAGGTACCATATAAGACACACATTATACAGTGTTGCCAGAAATAATTTGGATTAGAGGTGGCCATCTATCAGTTAGTTTAATTTTAGACTTTGGCAACTTTGACTTTGACAACTGTCAATGCAACAGGCAGAATAAACAACCACAGTCCCAACTGGAATGGATTGACTGGGACATAATCAATGTCATAATAACATTCAGGGGTCAATGAAGCCTAGTAATTGGTATGACCACCTTGTGCCTTGACACATTCCTGAAGTCTGTGAGCCATCGGCTGTCACAGATGTCCCACATGTGCTTGGGGGAGTGATGCTCGATTTCTTGCACCAGCTCCACAAGTCTGTGGTTCAGGATGCTGCTGTCAAACAACAGCCCAAATCATCCTACAGATCTTCATATGGTTGATATTGGGCAATCATGAAAGCCAATCCACTACTGCTATTTACATTAAGAAATGCCTTTGTTATCCTCTCTGCATGGAGGACAAACAATGTTCTATTAGTCAGTATCTGCCAGCCTTCACTGACAGTGGAGTCAGGACTGGTTCGACAATGTTTGCCACATCGTGCTGGGCATTAGGTCTATATCAACAACAAGCTATGGTCAGATGTCAGTGTTAATTGTACTCCAGACCAATACCCAGCAAATCGATCTCATTCCACAGCACAGTTCTGTGTAAATTGCTCTCTCTGGCCATCAGATGAGAGAGCTATCCTCAAGGTTCAGATTAAAATCTCCATTCATGAAAAAAAATGACACTTTTCCATCTTCTGTGATCAGGGTTAGTGCCTACTTCATCCCAGCGTGATGTTAATGAGTAAGGATTTGGCCAAACTAAGATCCGTAGAATTGTAAACCATAGTCTGACAGACATTTTTTTCACTCTTCTGTCACTAATTGGCCTGCTTCTAGTCCCAAAGGAGGGATTAGTTTTTTAACTTAATAAGAAGTTGGGGAAAATTGCTTTTAAGAGGTAAGGTATTACTTTACATTTTAGCTAAACACATACTACACAGATCACAGTAATTAACTCCAATGTTAATTTTAAAAATAATCACTTACAAAAATAAATTATAATTGCTCTGTATTTCTGTTTAAAAATAACTTTCCCCAACACTGAATGTCACCAACTACTGTGACATTCAACATCTTACAAATTATCAATTCATGGTATCTTGCAGTTGAATGGTAGAATTAATGCACTGTTATTCTGCATCAAGACATTTTCAAACAAAATGACATCACACAATATATGTGTACTGTGTTTGTACTGTACTTATCACCAATCAAAAAGCAACGCTGGCAACATTTTCTAAACATAGTGACATACCCATGGGCGTGTCACAATGGGATTTTTAAAGAAATCAAAGCTGTGAGGTTCAAAAACACCTTTCTGCCTTTATTTACAGTTCTGGGGAAATCAAAAACACCAGAACCAATCAAAACAAAATCTTGAGCACTTCTTCAGCTCCTGCCTAAACTTCTTCATGAAGTCCCTATAAGCTGAACTGTTTATTGGCCACAACAATAAAGCTTCCAAAAAATTCACAAAAATCGGACAGTTTTTTTTTCTCCTAAGAAAAACATCCTTTAGTCTATAGTAAGTCCTTGTCTGTCCTGTGGACAGCACACAGAGAGTCTCTGCCCTCTGGCCTACAGACGGTGGACATTTGTTCTCACAGACTGACCCTGGAAACTTCTTCCTGTTTTTTTTAGCAGTCACCTGACTAATTGGCTTCCAATTGGCTGTACTCTCACAACATCAAAATGTATCCTAAGTTCTTTTAAATTTAGATGGGCGATAAAAGTGAGGATTTCTTTCTATAAATGCATGGTTTACCTTAAGAGGGTGTCATTGTGTTTCTGTTGTGTTTCAGTATGGGATCATACCTACTTACAGTGTGTTAACAGAAGTACTCCCCAAATTTCCCCTGAAAATGCTTCATCTTTAACATTTGGTTTTGCATAAAAGATCTTAAGAGCTAATTGAATTATAGGAAACATTTTCCTTTCAAATAGTTATCCAATCAGATTCTTCAAATTCTATTACTAAGCTATAGTATATAATCTATATCCTGTATATAATTCTGTAGAAATTCTGAGCATGGAAAGAAACATACTGTAGTGAAGCTGCTAGCATGAAGAGAGTCTCCTAATCCAACATGGCTCTTTTACTTGGCTCTTTTTTCCTCTGCTGTTTTATTAGTCTATCCCAGCTCAAAAACACAGAGTACAAATATTGTAACTTGTTATGGTCAGCAAGTGCCGGTATACCTGGGATTTCTCAGATGAAATGGGTTCTGTACTATGAGCTCAAGAACATTACTGCATTTAAGAACAATGTTAAGGAAATCCCATCTCCTCAATTATATTTCCCATACCACAGAAAAACATCTTCTAATCAAAATATTCCTAGATGACTTTGCAATCTTTGATCCTGATACTGTAGTATTTTCCCACTTACAACACATTAGCTACACTGTTTCATAGATAAACTTCCCAAGTGATGACTCTTTTTTCTAACTGAAGACTTGTAATACATCCATATCTACTAGTGCTAAAGAATAGTGAAAGATGCATGTATTCAAAAACTGGTAGGTGTGCTTGGGACCACAGATGAACTGAGAGCTTCTGTTCCTGGTGTGTAACATCACTTTTCCAGTTATTGTTAGTGACATTGTGCTTCATCCCTGGTGAAGACAGAAGCCAGAACATTTCCCAGCTGTCTTTAGTTTTTCTTTTGCTCTGTTTATAAAGCAAAAATTGAGGTGAAGATTTATTTTTGCTTCTGCTCTTTTCCTGACAGTTGGACCTACACCTTAGTCTGCCAGCTTCTTTCATCAGAATTTGTGACATTTGTGCATGTTATCATAGAAGAATTAGGTCCTAAACAAGAATGCTTTACTTTTTCTCATTTGCAAATTCTTTGTGTAGATCATTTTACAATGACAGCAGAATCATCTTTTTGTGAATTAGTTTGCTTCCTGTGTAGACATCTGTAGGCAAAATGGGCGAACTGCAGGTGAGATACCTTTCAGATACTGTATCATTAGTGATTTACTCATGGCCCTATATTACATATGTTGATTTTTTGCTCAAGGAGAAGAGTGCTTTTTAAAAAGAAAATGTATAACTCTTTAACCTTACATGTATCGTAGACTCTGACTTTTTTTTTCTGCATTTGGAAGAGGTGCTGTTTTTATTTCAGAAACAGCTCTCAGAAGAAAACCACCTACCACTATGCCTTCACCAATTTAATGCTTCATAACAGAAGTAAAGTGAGCTCACAGAGTACAAAGACATGAGAACTGTTAACAGACTAGTTCTTGTGGAGTTTTTAACCGAAGCCTGTTTTGTTAGGCTAATGAACTATATTTAGGAGTAATGCATGTTGGTTAAATTGAGAGAATTATCATTGCAGAAGTAATTTTTAACATTTTCAAATATTTTAGCTTTACCTAAATGATTTAGTTAAAAGTAACATATTTTTTGTTTTCCTAGACTCAACATGCATTTATAAATAAGTGTTGTTTACGAAGACATTTTCAGTACAGTACAGGGGATTGGTCATTTGTTTACCCAGAGTGACTAACTAAGTAACTAAGTGCTAATTTAGTTTTAAAATAAGGTGCCACATACTATACGTGTGCCGTACATGTTTCCAGCTGTGGGGGAACACAGTGGAAATATTTCATTTGTAAACTCCACTCCTCCCTTGTTCTCCAGTGACAGTGAAGAGGGATGCTCGGAGAGCCTGGATGAGCTGCTCACAGGACCCGCAGCGTGCAGATTCCCTTCCCGGGAGACAGATGACACTCTGAGCACCAGCAAAGAAAGCGACGTTCCGCAAGACCCCATACCGGCCCCACAGAGTTCTCATCTGAAGCACTGTCCTTTTAAGGTGCTTTTTAAAAGTGCTTTCCTCCAGTGTGCAGTATGTGATGGTTTCCCACAACACTAATATTCCTGACATTGCTTAAAATATCAAATCACAATGTGATAGCAATCAGTGGCTGGGGCTGCATTCTGCCTTGTAAGCTATCAGTCCTGCCAGTAATAACTTTGCACGTATTGATAATTGCCCGGATTAAGATTACTGAGTTTCATTATTTCCCAAAAGTAATGGATGGCAAATGTATACAGTTCTCTTTATGTTAGGTGATGCTGTTTTATGCGACGCACTGTACTGTAATGAGAACTTCAGAGCACCTGGCATTAGTAGTTATTTTTAGTGATTATTTTCTGTAATTTAAAAACTATTTAGTAATTTAGATGACGTCAAAACTTGCTTAATTATTCTTTAAATGAGATGTGAGGAAAAACAAACCATGCCTTGGTTGTTGTCTGTTGCCTTAAAGTTATAATGGAAATGTAAGATAAATGGATATTGCATTAGAAGTGCTGATTTTAATTGAAGAAATCTGACTGTCAGCCTGATGTGGTTGACTCAGTTCTAATGCAGCCCAACAACTAGAATTTCAGTATTCTGTGATCTTTCATGCATTCTGCCTGACAGAGCTCCAGAACAAATTAAAACTGGAAAATTGTTTTTCTGAGCATTTGACTTCTCTTTAATCATTACCCAATCTACATTCAAAGAACTGAACTTTGACTTTTTATTTTATTGAAATTTATCCACATACTATAGCATTTTTGCTTCTTAACTTTTATTAGTTTGCAAAAAAAGTAGCGCACTGGCATCTTGTTTTAGTATCTTGCTTTGTTGGTAAAAAGTAACTTGGAAATCTTTTTCCTAATTTAAATATTTTTTAATAGCAGTTGAAATAACTGTGGTAAAATTTAATGGAGGCTGGCCACAGCCCCTTTTAAATGTTGTAAATTGTCTTTTGGAGAAGGACTCATCGCTATTATAGACTTAGCTTTCATTTGACTACATATAAATGCACTGTGGCCTGACTCCTTCATTATACTAATTTTTCTTGCTTGTTCTGCTTGTAAGGTCGATGCATTACGGTCATAAAAAGCAGTAACAGCCCGAGAAATATGTAAATTTAGTGAAGTGGTTTCTTTCAGAGAGACTGTCCCGTGCATCCTCTCATTCTTCAAAAATAATTATTTTAAAAAACCTTAAAAGAAAAAAATATATAGGATATATTTATGGACAGGTTTGGGACTACTACCAATGAGTTTTCTACAGAGTGTCACAGTTTTTTCCTATTGATGTGCTTGAGAAAGTGTTGTTCATTTGTCTTGTTTTCTAAAAGAATTCTAAAATCCTTGTTTCATTTAGTAAAAAAACATGTTGTTGATCATTACATGTAAATGTAGAAAACTGCTTTATACATTAGTCAGTAAGTATGATCTGGGGATTAAGACAGATCAGTTTACTATGTTGTAAAGTTAAAGCAAAGGGCAACATTTCTATCTGTTGGGAACAGGTTTTCTTTTTCTGTCTTACATTTATACTGTTCTTAGCTGTGTTATATTTTATTTCAAATGGTGTTGTTTTTGTTTTAAGGAATGTGATAGTACTGAAATCCAAAAGAAAAATATAATCACACAGGTGAGCAGGCAGCCCACAACTAATGCACGACAAGAAACACACAAAGGTATAGTATCTGTTTTTTATTGTATTGTAAATTTAATAGATAACTTTGGTAATCTTAATGCAAATATGTGTAATTTAAATCTGTATGATGCTATGGCTTATTAGTAAAATAGGTGCAAGTCACCTGCTGGAGTTCAAGATCACTTTATTGGCCATATACAATTTCTTAGGAATTTGTCTTTTCGCATACCCCAACGTGCTCTCCATGAGACACACAGACAGGGTGATAAGCTTGGGGTCAGAGTGTAGGGTCAGCCATTTATACGGCGCCCCAGGAGCAGTTGGGGTTAGGGGCCTTGCTCAGGGGCCCAACAGAGTAGGATTCCTCTGCCGGCCGCGGGATACAAATCGGCAACCTTCCAGCCACAGGCGCAGATCCTTAGCCACAGAGCCACCACACCATCCCCAAATTGCATCAGTGTATAAGGCAGACAGGGAATTAATTCCACCCATTAATTTGGAAAAAGTTCAAAAGAAGAGCTGCCTCTTGGGAGTCTATAAGTTACACAACATGCACTCATTGATATGGCAAAAAATAAGAAGATAAAAGTTACAGACAAGGAGGCCCTTGGATATGTTTTGCTTATTTCTATTAGCTTATTGAGCAAGGAATTATATTATATTATATCCACACAGAGTCTTTGGTTTGTCCTGGACCCCTGCAACACTTGATGAAAAACAAATCTCTGCTGTTTAATATTTCATTTTGTTGTGGGTCAATCAGTTGTCAATACTTTTCTGAATTTTAAAATCCTGAATCAAGTCCCCATGTGCTTTTCTCTGCTGATTTTAGTGTTATGTTTTCTTTCAGACCTGACTACTTTTTATTTTGCGGTAATATTTGTCCTATAACATGGTCACTGGAACTGAACTACAGAACTAGGCCTCACTAGTTGTAATTTTAACATTCCTGGATTGATCTTGGAAGGCAGTCCAGTACAGAGCTGGAGATGCATCCTCACATTTTCTGTGAGGAAAACAACATGATAGTTTGGACTATAAAAAAAATCTTTTGACTCCGGGCTCAGAGAAAAAAAAAAGTTTTCTGTGTCAGTCATTGAATTTCTTTTATGTCAAGATTCATGAATAAAAGCCGCAGCAAAAATAATTAAAGTCAGGTAGTACAAAAACCTTTTCACTAAATATCTAAGTCAACTCCTGTTTTTTAACTCTTTTCTATGAGGAAAAAGACTAAATGCCCTTTTAAATGTTCAATGTTAATGTTAAAGACATGTTAAAGCATCAATACATCTCATTTTTGTTCTGATTTATACACAAAGGGAGAGAAAAAGGAAGCATCCGACAATGCCTTGTTACTGTAGCTCACCGGAGGTGGTATTATTTTTCCTTGTAAAAGGTAAACACAAGAAGAAGAAGACTGGGGCCCAGAAGAGAGCTTTCTCACTGGCACTTCAGCAGCGGATCATATCTCTACAGCAGCAGATAGCTGTTCTACAAACTGGGAAGAGAGCAGCTCAGAACTCCGCCAGGGAGCTGAGAGAAACCAACAAGAAGATAACATCCCAATTGAACTTGCTAACCCAGAGATTTCAGATCAGCAAGCAGGTTTCACAGGTAAGGGAGAGAAAAAAAAAGACGGAAAGGAAATGATTTTTTTCTCTTGCTGCACAACAGAGCCTTTGCCCTTATCATGGTTAATAAGTGCAAGGCTGACAGGGCTGCCCTCACTGGCAGAGGTCAGGCACCATAGAACAGGACTGCTGTGAGCCTGCCATTTTAGTGCCATTGCTGCTATGCTCCTGTACAGGAAATGAGATGAGCTCTGTCTGTCCTGCTTTTCCCACTGAACAATTTCAGGAGTGATGTAACAGGCAGAAAAAGGCAACAGGCAAGCATCTGTCTCTAGAAAGGTCAAACTCCTCAAAAGTCTGATTATCAGGTTCTTTAAACTAAGTCTAGGTGTTGTCACATTGCCATGTGACCACTGGTTCAGAACCACCACTTGTCTCAATTTATCAGTTGAGCAGAAGAGGATAACAGGGTAGTCTTCAGAGCTTTTTTGCTAGAGATATTTCTGAACAGAAACAATATGTTATGTAGACAGTCTATATATGTTAAACAGACAATACTCCCCAATTCTTTTATAATGCTGCCCTGGAACACTATGTTAGAACTGAAGGAACAAAACATCTCACATTGTGCAGTCATTTGACTTTTAAAGGGTGTTCCTAGTGAATAAAGCCACTGACGTGCCCTTTGGGACAAGGGAGGATAAGATCTCCTTGTTGTTGTTTTTTAATCAACAGCTAACTGAAAATGAAATTACATTCCTCATCCTCAAGGATTCAGAGAACCTCCTATTGGTCATAAACTATAAAGGCTGGTAAACGGATGAATTTTATCTCAAGTTCCAAGAATCCCATGTTTCTACTCTTGACATGTGCTGAGGCAAAGTAAACTACAGTTTTTGCACTTGCGTAATATAAAGAGAACCACACTTTTTAAAAGAATACCTGTTACTCATCAATTTAGAGGTAGACAAATTTGATAAACAGTGCAAGGGTACAGTTAGAAGTCATAAAAACATCTAGAAATGATTAGTTTAATGGAAAGCCTCTGTATTCTACACACAGATATCAAGTTTACTTACACCAATTACTGTTATTGATGAGGTGCACAAGCTGTACTGTATTATTGACAAACGCCAAATCAGTAAACTAAAATGCATGTTTTACATTAATTTCTACAGCTGTGAAATAATTTATTTTTCTAAAATGTTGCACCATGTTCCTACACGGGTGAAAGCTTTGATCCTTGATCTGCTACCACTGTCTTCTGGTTTTCATTTCACCCTGACTCTTAGTGACTTGATTTGAATCAAACATTCACCTAGTTGCTTCTTATTTCCTCTGCTTCCAGGTATTTACTCATTGGGAATTATATGTTTCCTGAAAACCTGATGAATTCTGGCTTTTCATGACAAGGAGTGAATATTACTGTACTAATGCCTCATAGAGAACTTGGCAGTGCTAACTGAATCATACTGTATGTATTCTGGTAATAGTGCCAACAAAACATTTTGTTTTAGGCGAGGCAAGACGTCATTGTAACAAGAAGAACCAGGTCAGAAAAATCCTTTTGCCCTTGCATTTCCACCAGGATCTTCTTAAGATCCTTACCGCCACCAGTTGGCAACATCCAAACAATTGAAGGGTTAAGTCTGAGTGCTACAGATGGCTTGTAAAGTAAACACCCTGCGGATGTTCTCCAGCCTTATGTATGTCAGATCCTCAAGGGCCATGGCTTTTGCCAGCCGAAGCACTCCTGGTTTTGAAGCTGATGAAACGCTCTCTTTCTTATTGATCTGTGCGTGACACAGCCTGTCTCAGTGCTGGTAGAGCAGAGCAACATTTATCCAGGAATTTGTGAAATGTCACTGGGATCATGTTTCTAGGGCGAACTGTACAAGAATCAGCTGCTTAGACTATTACCCAAAAGAAACTTAACTGTACATGTCTGATAACCCAGCATTCACTGGGGGGATGCTGCCAACGGGGATTTTGGAAAGCTGGTGCATTTTGTTAATGTACCATTTTTTTTTCTAATAGATTGTAAGAGTGAGAATACATAAGGGCTTTTTTAAAACATTATTTTAACTGCAGTGGTTTTGCATTCACGGCTTAGGAAGGATTTGATAGTTTAAGCAGTGTCCTTTAATATTCATGGAGGAAATGAGGAGTTTTGAACCTGTAATTTACGTCTACACATTCAGTAATTCGTCTGAAGAGTTCATAATCACTTATATTTTCAAGGCATATTGTTTTAGTTCACAAAATTGTTATTAACTGTCTTTTTTCATTCTGTAATTGCAGGAACATCCCTATTTTAATTGCTTATCAATTCTCATTGATCAATAATTTATCGTTCTGAAAGTATAGCGGTAGCAATATGCTTGACATACTGCAGACTGAGCAGGACCTTTCATGTTCTTACTTGACGTGATCTGCATAAATGGAACATACACACAACACATTTACCAGTCAGTCATCACAGCCGTCCCCTAAAAAGTAATTACAGTGAGTAAAACTTTGGAGGGAAAATTGCCTTGCAATAAACGGAGAGCATTTCTTTCTCTCACAGGGCTCTGACTTTAGTGCTTCGTGAAAGATTGGCATTTTTGGTGCCTTAAAGTTCTTTAAATCTACTTGGTTAATTGCAGACCATCTTTAACACGACCTTTTAATAATGCAGTACTCCTCAAGTGTCATCCCTTTATTGGCTGTGCTCAGTGGAGCTTTGTTCATCTTTATTAGACAAGTATGCTGAAAGATGGAAAAGAAAGAAAAGTCGGCTAGTAAATTAGCAGTAATTAGGAGAATTTGCCTAGCTTTTATATGGACATTTATATGCAGAAATTGGGATGTCAGCAGCTTAAAGAAACTTTGTTTGACACTTGTGTGTGGCAGGTGAAATATGGAGTGGTAATTTTACTTTTACAGGGCTACAGTCATGCATATTAACAGAACAGTTTGTCATTCATGCAGGATAAGTGTACGGGATTATCATCTTTACATCCTTGGGTTTTTAGAAATAACTGTTCACTGCCATTGTCATTGGGCATTAATAGTTCTGGCATAGTGCTGCTCAAGTCTTCATGTACAGTATGGATGTCTTAATGTCTCTTGTATGTATATTTGGTGAGAATGTTGCTTAGCAAAATATGTGTAGAATAATGTTCTTTTGGTTCACATTACATTGATATTTTATATAATTCAATTGCCTCTATGCATTCAACATTTCTAGTGGTTCTGTATACTGCAAGTCTAGAGCAAATATTATTCTAGAGATCAGTTCCCTGAAATACTATATGAAATTGCTGTATATGGAGCTATTTTCCCAAGATTTTTTTTTTCATGGCAGCCCACTGCTCTGCCCCCAAAAAGTAATTTCCTTGTTTGGTTACAAAGTTTGTTATGCTTTTAAACATTATTTACATTTCGAAGTGTAATTTAGAATGCTGTAAATGAGTCTTTCTCTTGGTTTGCCCTGGGATATGTCTAGTAAATTAGCAGGAAACTGTTTCTTCCTCTTCAGTGCTGCAACAGTGCCTTGTACAAACATGGACTACATGAGGGAAGGAAGTATATCCATAACATTTAAGACAGATTTTTGAATGAACTTCTTAGGATGTAACCAACTGCACAGTTTACAGTTGCCAACTCTCTTTAACTCTGTTAGATGGCCCTTTTTTCATATAGTATTGGATATACCCTTCCTCTGATATCACTAACTCATGAACACTTGTTGATCCGGGAAGTCTTTAGTAATTTAGCTTGCACTGATTTACTGTACTGAAAGCTCTCACTTTGAAGTTGGCATACTGGCACGATGGTTACGTATTTATTCAATCAAATGCTGTGTGTGATTACAACAAATTTATTGTGATTGGCTTTATATACTGTACACTCATTTTGACTACAGTAGGTTTAGACCTAACATGTTTTAAATACTAAATAATGAATTAATTCACATTCCTCGTGTTTTCCTTCATGTAATTTCTTTAGACTGTAATCTCAGTGAAATGTTTTTTCTTATTATACTGGAATAGAAAAAAAAAACTATATACACAGAAAATAAAATGTTAAAATTGTGTGGAAGTCTTAGTCCCCGTTTTTAATGAAGCCGAATGATCAGGATCGGTTTATGTACTGTAAGTAAATAGTTATTACATACATACATTAATCTCACAAACATCAGCTCGAATATTTGCAAAATTCCAGTGTATGCCCCAGTTTAGAGGAAAAGAAACCTGATCTGGTTAAGATCTCTCAAAACTTGTCAGCAGGCTGATTCACATCAATATATCCTTTATGCTTCATGTCAGTTTTCTCCTGAGGAATCTGATTCCGGGAGCCTGATTTTCTATGTCTAAATAAAGTACTGCGTGAAATTATCAATTATCACTCAGTGGACAAAACATTTTGCAGATATCTTGTGCAAGGTCGTTTTCGTTTGCCATAATAAAATGCACATCTTTGATTAACTTTTGCAATAACAGAGAGGGAACCCTACAGCTGGCATACTATAAATGTCTAGGACAAAATAACAGTGTGCATGTGTTTGTTGCTCAATATTGTGCTAAATGTTTGAGGATGGTTTACTTATAATCCAAAAACAGATGGAAACCTGAGAGGCAATTACTTTGCTTCCAAATGTACTCTTGTGCTGTCCCTGTACTGTAAATTACAGTACCCTGTAAAAGGTTCCTTAATTTGTCTTTTTCTGGTAAACCTTAAACCATGCATCCATATTCTATCTTCTTCTTCCAATTCAGAGTAATGGGGCAGCATGAGCCTGTCCTGGCAAGCAGTGGGCACAGGGCGAGGTACACTGTAAATGGGACACCAGTTCATCACAGGGCAGATATACAGCCAAGAAGCCCAGAAGCCAGTTAAATTACTAGCATGTCTTTAGACTGTGGAAAGAAATCAAAGCACCCAGAGAAAAAACACACTTTTACCAGATGTACCTTAGAAATAAAATATTATTATTAAAATGTTGGTGCAGGTGTGACCAGGAGTGTGTCTGGTCAGTACCTGGATGGGAGACTCCTGGGAAAATCTAAGGTTGCTGCTGGAAGAGATGTTAGTGGGGCCAGCAGGAGGCGCTCACCCTGCGGCTCATGCGGGTCCTAATGCCCCAGTATAGTGATGGGGACACTATACTGTAAGCAGGCGCCATCCTTTGGATAAGACGTAAAACAGAGGTCCCAGGGTTTCTCTCGAAAAGAGTAGGGGTGTAACCCTGGTGTCCTGGCCAAATTTCCCATTGGCCCTTGCCAATCATGGCCTCCTAATAATCCCCATCTATGAACTGGCTTCATTACTCTGCTCTCCTCCCCACTGATAGCTGATGTGTGGTGAGAGTTCTGGTGCACTATGGCTGCCATCGCATCATCCAGATGGATGCTGCTTGTTGGTGGTGGTGGAGGGGAGTCCCCATTACCTGTAAAGTGCTTTGAGTGGAGTGTCCAGAAAAGCGCTATATAAGTGTAAGCAATTTAATGTATTTATAAAATATTTTTTATATTTTAATAATATAAAATATAAATATAAAATATTATATTTATAATATTGCCATACGTAAATGCATGTGTGGCTTCAGAAGCCATTGCTTTGCTTTCAAAGTATACTCTGTGCTGATTATATTGAAACAGCACGGTCCCTGTGTTGTAAATTATTGTTCCTTAATTTGTCTTATTATACTTGTATAGTATAAATACTAATGGCTCTGTGCCATTTTTTAGCTATTTCAGTTCACTGATCTTTTTAGAAAAAAATCTTCAAGGAAAACGTAAACTCTATGTGCATTCTAGTACCACACACCAAGAGAGAATCTGTCCTGAATGGTTTCCAGTACGGTTGCTAAACTGAACCCCAAAGGCCTCAATCTTGCCTGCTCATGGGCAAAACGTAGCTGTATTATTGAAGTAATTTACTTCTTAAATGAGAATATTGCCAATGAATTTTGAGTGATTAGCTTTTCATTAACATGAAACAATTCTTGCAATTAACACACTTGCCCATTCTTAAATGAAAACAGTGTTTTTTCTGCAGGAAGAAGGAATGACTTTCATGTGAGCTCTAATTGACAAATACTGTAAATGTATCTTCCCTAACACACAGGGAGACTTTGTGTGTTGTTTCATTTGCTTCCCTTACTCCCCCAAACACAGTCAAATCTTTTGAAAGACATTTAGGCAGAGCGAGGTGATACCTTCTCTTCCTCTCTCTTTTTTTTGGCTTCAAACAGAAACTGACCTCTGACTTCGCAGAGCTTCAGCAGCAGAAGGAAGTGTTGGAGAGAGAGGTGGAGCAGATGAAACAACAGCAGGCCCAGACAGTCAGGGCAACACCAGAGCAGCCCCCTCTGACCCCTGGGCCCAAGGAAGACCCCCCTGGCCCCTCACCCAAGCACTCGGAAATGGAAATAAAACAGCTCCAGAACAAGCTAAAGGTTAGTGGATAATACTAACTTGCTACAGCAGTACCATAATGTGGTGGTGTCATAAAACTTCTTTTAGCTGGACCTCATTTCAACCAATTGTTAATTTCTTCAGTTTCTTTTTTCCTTTCTTCATTATGCCACATTTTAGCCCAGTCTGACCGTTTTACCCATTTTAACCAGATACTAGTAGTGCTTGTAGGAAATTATTTTTTACTGTACATGACGGAAGCTTCTGACTGAAGACTCAAACTTTATGAATGTTTCAGCAGAAAAAGCACAAGGATATATACAGTTCTGTATATCTAGTTTTTCATTACACTGTTTGTAATTCTATTTTTCTTTTGTACATTACATGTTTGATTATATTTGACAATCAAATGTGGTTTTCAGTCTTGGAAATTAAAGGAAATAATTTATGAAAATAATTATTTTTGTTTAAGTAAAGTAAGTACTGTATACACTGTAGTATAACGTCTACCAGCATCTGGAATTCTGCAGGATGGATCCGGCACCACGCTTCCACCCAAAGGTCAGTCAAATCACACGTTTAATAGTGGTGGAAAACGCTGTCTCAGGCATCGTTCCAGAATATCCCATACATCCCATAAATGCTCCTTTGGGTTCAGGTCTGCTGACTGAGAAGGCCATGACATACAGTATGGATAACATCAGTGTCATGCTCATCAAACCCCTGGGCAACCATACGTGCTCTGTGGGTCAAAGCAATTTAAATCATGCTAAAACACCAAGGATGACTCACCAGACCATATCACATTTCTCCACTACTTGGTAGTCTATTGCCTGTGCTCTTTGCACCATTGGATTCAGAAATGTGCATTACCACCGTTGTGATGAGTTGTTTTTGTACTGCAACCCATCTTGGGTATCATGCTCTTTAGAGAGCAGAGTTCATGATGGACCATTTTAGAGTCTGTGACGGACTATTTTTGATTAAATTGGCTTTTCTTACCCAACGTTTAGGTGCTCGTCTGTTTTGTCCTCTACTTCACACAATCATGGAGTGTGCTCTTCTGCCCACTGTTGCATTTTTGCTGTTTATGTCTTTTCCACTGAGTTCCATGCTGACATCCTCTTAGACATTGTTGCTCATAAAACATCAGTAGGTTGAACTGTTTTGGTCGCTAGATCTCCTGCCAACTAGGCCACAACAATCACCCCTCTTTAAAAATCACAGCTGAGATTTCAGATTTCAGCCACGCCACCCATAATTAAAGGCGAACAGTCCTGTACAGCATTTTTAATACATGACCCTAACCATGCTGGGATGTTAGCTGCTTAATTTACACATGGGCCACTCCTGCGTTGAAGCCCTTAATTACATTATTCCTTGTGTCCCTCATTAATCCAGGTTTTCCTATTTTTGTTCACTGCCTATAACTAGAGAACACCTTCAGGAATTTTACAATTGCTGTGAAATATCTACTCAAGTTTTAATGTTTAATTGATAACTTGAATATTAAAAACAAAAACTCTAAAACAAATAGTCTCTTTACACACTTTATATTTGCATTTGGGTCATGTGAGACAAAAAGTTCATTTGGGGTAGCAAGCAAAAGGATCTTAATTCAAGAATTGTGAAAAAGTAGATTTTTACACATCCCAGAGACAAGGATCAAAATGGTAAAACAATTCTAAATTGAAATACAGTAGCTCTAATAAAAGTTAAAAATAGTCCAACACGTACAATTTTATATACACACATACTGTATATATAGTACACTCAGGGAACAAAACAAAGTGACAAAATAATTAATCACACAAAAGCACAGGACTTTTGCAGAGTTAAACTCTAGATCAGTAAGCACTTTTGGAGCTCCCTTATACTGTATAAACAGCAAGCTCCACCCATGTCTGATTTCCTATTGTCAAAAATATTTGAACAGGTGTTTAGTCTTTTTAATAACACATGCAAGCCTACCTGGGAATCTATGATTTACAGTGCCTATAGAAAATCTACACCACCCTTGAACTTTTTCACATTTTATTGTGTTACAGCATGGAACCATGATGCATTTAACTGAGTGAGAATGTTTGCCACTCATCAACACAAAGCACTCTAAAATGTCAAAGTAAAAACAAATCCAGACATTCTACTAAATTAATTAAAAATAAAAAAACAAAATAATTGAATGCATAAGTATTCACCCCCTTGATTTGACGCACCTAAATTACCTCTGAAGTAACCAACTCTCTGCTCCAAGTCACATAATTACTTGACTGAGTCCACCTGTGTGCTGTTGAGGTGTTTCACACAATTTCGGAATACATACACCTGTGTCTGGGAGCTTCCCCACTTAGTGCATTTCCAAGGAAACACTGCACCATGAAGGCCAAGGGACATTCCAAACATATCCCAGACAAGGTTCTTGAAAAATACCATTCAGGGCAAGGATATTAGAAAAGTTCCAAGGCATTGAATATACCTCGAAGCACAGTGAAGTCCATCATTAAAAAGATGAGAAAATATGGAACAACTGTGAATCTGCCCAGAACTGTCCATCCTCCAAAACTGAGTGTCCGAGCAAGAAGAGCCGTATTAAGAGAAGCCAACGAGAGGCCTACGGCAACTCTAAAGGAGTTACAGCCCTCCACGACAGAGATGGGAGAAATTGTGCATGAGACAACAATAGCACGCACACTTCATATATTTGGCTTGTACGTAAGGGTGGCAAGAAGAAAGCCTTTGTTGAAAAAAACTCATATCACATCTCAGCTGGAGTTTGCCCAAAAGCTTGTTAGAGACTTTGTTTGGCGCAAACCTCGCACAGCACAACACACTGAGAACCCCACCCCTACAGTGAAGCATGGTGGTGGCAGCAGCATGCTTTGGGGATGCTTCTCTGCCGCAGGGACTGGAAAACTCATAAAGATAGAAAGAAAAGTGAATGGAGCTAAATACAGAAAAATCCTGGAGGAAATTGGCTGCAATCTGAAAGAGCACTGGGACTTGAGAGACGATTCATCTTCCAACAAGACAAAAACCCAAAATGTACAGCAAAAGCCACATTAGAGTGGCTTAAAACCATAAGGTAAATGTCCTGGAGTGGCCCAGTCAAAGCCCAGACCTCAATCCAATTGAGCATCTGTGGAATCACTTAACAATTGCTGTTCACAAACGATCCCCATCCAACTTGATGGAGCTTGTGCATTTTTGCCAAGAAGAATGGGAAAAATTCCAGCGTCAAGATGTGCAACGCTGATAGAGACTTACCCAAAGAGACTCACACCTCTAATTGCTGCCAAAGGTGGTCCTATGAAGTATTAACTCTGTGGGAGGGGGGTGTATACTTACGGATTCAGTTGTTGTTGTTGTTTTTAATTAATTTAATAAAATGTTTGGATTTTTTTTAATATGACATTATAGAATACTTTGTGTTGATGAGTGGCAAAAATTCTCAGTTAAATACATCATGGTTCCATGCTGTAACACAAGAAAATGTGAAAAAGTCCAAGGGGGGTGTAGATTCTCTGTAGGCATTGTATCTTCACTTACCTTTATGCATTTTGTTAGAAACAAGTTATGTGTTTTTATATTTACTACATTGACTATAATTGAGGGAATCCAGTCTTCCGCACTTTAAAGTTGTGCTGTCTTAAGGCTTGTGCTCAAATTCACTGAAACAAACTCCTTGGATTAATTAGGATGGCAGTTTGTGTGTTTTGTTGCATTTGTAAGTGCTTACATACAGTAGGTTCTGAAGGATAATGCTGTAAATGATCCCAGCAAGTCTGACATTTAATTACAGTAATTACTTCATATGCTCATGTTACTTTTTTGTGCTTACACAAATAGTAACACATAACGCATAACACACACAGTATCAAGTCAACAGCATAAACTGTTTAGTGAACTGGTTTACCTGGCTTTTCAAGGTTCCTAGACTGTCCTTATCCAAATAAGTAGATGAGTCCAAGGGGATTTACTGTCCCATGATAGCATAAGGCTGTAATGATACATCAACTGGTGGTTTAGACATTCACTTTGTAATCAACTTGTCTCCCTTGTCAATAGTGAAAATGAACTAGTTTATGTGGCAGTATTCCTGGCTGTGGTATCGCAGTTCCTAGAATATTTTTAATTGAAGTTCACGTTCTGTGACCGTGCTAATAAGAGTGCAGCACCACACTTTGTGGCTGGGACTTCATCAAAATTGTATTAACAATAATATTGATAATAATAATTGCTTACACTTATATAGCACTTTTCTCAACACTCCACTCAAAGCGCTTTACAGTAATGGAGACTCCCCTCCTCCACCACCAATATGCAGCATCCACCTACTGTAGGTGATGTGACGTCAGCCATAGTGCGCCAGAATGCTCACCACACATCAGCTCTCAGCTGGGAAGAGAACACAGCGATGAAGCCAAATCATAAATGGGGATTATTAGGAGGCCATGATTGGTAAAGGCCAATGGGAAATTTAGCCAGGACACTGGGGTTACATCGCTACTCTTTTTGAGAAAAGCCCTGGGATTTGTAATGACCACAGAGAGTCAGGACCTCGGTCATCCAAAGAACGGTACCTTTTTACAGTATAGTGTCCACGTCACTGTACTGGGGCATTAGGACTCACAGACTGCAGGGTGAGCACCCCCTGGTGGCCCCACTGACACCTCTTCTCATGAGGTCTCTCATCCAGGCTCGCACCTGCTTAGCTTCAGTGGGTTGTCAGTTGTGAGTTGCAGGGTTATATGGCTGTCATCTGTTCAATGACATTGTCCCTCTCAGGATGCTGCTAGTTTGGCTGACAACTCCTTCCTCCTTTGAGACAGTACACCTGTTTCAGTCTCTGAAGCTCTTATATAATCAAATACAGAATTTTCTTAATTAGTTTTACAACACATTGGAGCTGCTAGAGCATTTTTGCAACTAACTCAAGGTTAAACAAGTACAGTGCATGATAAATATATTCATTGTGTGCATAATGATCTTACATCATGTACTGTACTGTATATTTTTTGGTCAGGTTTTGCCCTGTAGGACA